GATATGGAGGGTTTAGGGTGAGTGTGGAAGAGTGTTTGATGGTTGGAAGGTGGTGGAGAACTAGGCAAAGAGGGTGGAAGAAGGTGGAGTGGCTGTTATGTTTTCTAGGCACTAGAATGGTGTTTTTGGGGTGTTTTTTTGCTTCCTAGGGTGTGTATGGACGAATTTCTGTGATAAAATGATGAATATGGGGGATTGTCCTTTGGCCAAGGGGTGTAAACATGTATTTATAGGCCCCAAAAACCTTAGAAAATCAGGTTAGGTTAAGGATGAAATGCCATGGTAATTTTGTGTGTGTGGTGTGCAATGGTCCAAGGGTGAAAATGAAGTGATGATGCAAAGTGTGAAGGGTAAAATGGAGTGGTCTTGAAGCTAGGGAGCATGAATGATTGTGTACATTGCATAGAGATGGAAAGGGAGGTGAAAATGTGTCAATAAATGGGTCAAAGGTGCAGCAACATGTGGTACACAAGGCATGGGATTCTAAATGTGAATGATGGAGCATCAATTGGTGCATGTAATGGATGTAAATGTTGTCTAAAATCTAATGAGTGAAGGGAACAAGAGGTAACAAGCAATTGAGTGTAATAATTAAATGAATTGAAGCATGAAATTAAAAATTATGTAGGGGACAAGAGTGATCAAGCATGGCATGGAATCCAAAGGGAATTCTATGTGGTTTGCATGGCAAGGAATGCAAGTTGGGGTGACAGATTTTTGGGCTATTTTCTTCATCTTTTGGACCATAATTCTTCATATTCTTGGCCTCTTTAGTTCTCAAATTCGTCCATCCACTTGGCCCATGCATTTGCTATCCATTCCAAGCCCGAAACATGCTCCAAAGGCCTCCAAAATGCATCTTCTTGCATACTTTATACTTAGAGTCTGAAAACACATGAAAATGACTTTAAACATTAAAATAACTAAGGAAACACGACATAAATGCACAAGAACAAGCCAACTAAGTCACATAAATATGCTCCTATCAGTAGAGATTGGAGATTAAACGGAAATGAGTAAGAATGATTAAATGGTTTAATCATTTATTTATGGCAAGGATTAATTAATATGTTAATTAATCAAACGAATAAGTTCGTTAAAGACTTCGGGATAGTTTTGGACCTTAAGGCCCAATGGGCTTCGAACGTCAAGCCCATTAACTTAAGTTGTATGACAATTTAATGAATAAAGATTCATTGAAGCCCAAAAGCCCAAAACTCCCTAAATGGCCGGCCATAGTGTGATGAAATAGGGTTTTGGTTATTTAGGTCACTTAAAGAAGTGACTATATAAATGACTTTATAGCCAAATATTCATTAAGGATTAAAAGGGTTTATTTTTGGGGAAAATTGGTGAGAATTGTCTCTCCATTTTCTCTCTAAAGAGGCCAACACCTTGGAGGGTACATCTAGCAATCCTACTACTCCAAGGTCACTCATTTCTTCTACAATCTAACCTTGGTGAAGAGACTTAGAGGTTCTCAATTTTGGGAACTTGGAGAACCAATTCTTCCATCCAAATCCATGGATCTAAGAAGCAAGGAATGAAGGCCCTATCTCTTTGGGTGATTAGCCTTTGCTTATGCAAAGAGGAATCTACAAATGTATTAATTTCAACTCACTTTGTTTTGAGTTGATTCTTGGTTCACCAATCTACTAGGCTTTGAATTTCATGGGTAATGTTTTGTTTTTGAGTGCATGCAAGCATGATTCCGCCTTTAATTGTTAATTGCATGCTATATGATGTTGCTCAAATGAACATGTTTTCACAAAATAATCCTTCAAAGACTACAATCCAATCCAATCCAGTGAAGGCTAAGAAGGGTAAACAAACGCCCCCTTAGTTTATCATGAGTAAAGACACTATTGCTGACATAATAACCTCTATACGAAATGCTAACATGAATAAAAAAAGAACACTTCGAATACCATCTACTAACATCATTGAAAATATTGTTAAAATCCTTTTATAAGAAGGTTTTATTGAAAACGTGAGAAACACAGCGAGCCCATGCAAAGGGTTTGGTTAAGATATGCTAGATTCCACCAAGTATACAAATGGAACCTAACCATACATGCCCACCAATTATATCTTCCAAATCGTCTACACTAATGATCCACCCTTCTCGGCCAAAGAGGGATTTTAGTAAATAACCAAATACAATACTTGGGCTAAGGGTGAAGTTGGTAATTTTTCTTACATCTCCCCCGCTTAGAGCCCAGGTATCATATACACCCCCAAAATAAAGAGCCTTGAATACTAGAAAAAAAAGCACCTATACCTAACAAGATTAAGTGAATTCCCAAAATTATAGTCATTTTATTTCTTTCCATACATAACTGAAGAATGGAAAAGATTCTTTAAGAGTCTCGGGTCCTAGAAGTGCATGATAAATACTGCCAAAGCCCAATACTGCAGAGGAAATTAAGTGAAGTACTTCAGACACAAAGTATGGAAAGGTGTCTAGAACTTCCCCACCAAGGCCTACCCCCAACCTAGAGTAGCTAGGTGAGGAAGTAAAGTTAATCCTTGTTCATACATAGGCTTCTTTGGTACGAAATGAGCCACTTCAAATAGGTTCATTGCTCCGGTCCATAATATGATTAATTCAGCATGGGCTACATAAGCCCCAAGTAGTTTACCGGATAAATTGATAAGTCGGGCATTCCCGGTCCACAAGATAAAAATATATAATTTAGAACATATTTTGGTAACACAAGAATTTGATTTCATCATCCAAACTCAAGTTCATAAATCTAATTCCCTTTATATATAGAAGAAGTGTGAGAGTTGTATCCATAGTTTCAATTAGATGTTAGCTCTTCATATTCATAAGATATCAATTAAAGTTTCGTCTCTTAGTAATTTTTTCCTTTTAATTTCTTATTTAAAAGTGGAAAAGGATCCTAAATGTGGGATACGTATATCTATCAAATCAAAGTGTATCCATTGACCATAATACGTAAACGACGAGTATTCAAAAGTATCCAACAAATATCATATCTCAAAAATATCGGACATGGGATACGTTACCAAAGTGAAGTGTCTGCGAAGCTTCGTTTCACCCTTTTGAGGGAAAAGAATGCAATCATGTAAGTGGCGTAACTCAGGGGCATCAACTAATTCAAGAATCCTTATTTGAGTTGAGGATGATGTGGCTGGAAGCTAAAAGCTGTCGACACGGAGATCATCCAACAAAGTGGAAACTAGGACAAGAGGGTCTCATCTTGAAGGGATCGTTTGGAGTTATTGGCTTGAAAGGCTGGAAATTGGGTGCAATTTTAGAGATAGGTTACAACTGACAAATAAAAAAGCCCAATAGGGGTTCCGGAAGTGGTGGTACATGGTTTAAGGTCAAGTCTTCGTAGCCTCTATCTAAACTCCTCAGCTATTTACTTGTTTGGATCGAGAAAATCATAAATCATTATTAAAGATAAAAACAAATTAGTATTAGATCAATTTCTCTCAAATCAATCTAAAACTTGGATTTTTCAATTATGTATTACGGATTGTAATAGGTGCATTACATACTTTTTTATTTTTGTGTTTAGTTTAAGAATCACAATAATTTTAATAGAGGGTAATATTCATCTCATGTGAGTCTTGTAAATTTTTTTTTCTCCCGCACATAATTAAAAAAAAAAAAAATGCAACTACCAACTCTACCACTTGTAAGTGTACAAGAAAATTCCTCCCACGAGAGAAATAAAGAAAAATATGTTTGAAATAGAAGATTTTTTTTTAACATCTGAAATTATCTATACTAAAGGGGATGAAGGTGGGCTAGCTTAATAATGATGATTCAAATTCATATTTGATAAGAATATAATCTAATATCTCTCACTTTAGGGCTGGGCACGGGCCGGGCCGGGCCCATTTTTGAAGGGACCGGACCGGACCGGACCCGGAATTAAAGGAGACGGGGCGGGCCGGGCCGGGCATTACAATTCTGAAAATAAGAACCGGACCTTACCCGACCCGGTTGAAACGGGCCGGTTCGGTCTGGGTACACACGGGTCCTTTTTTTTTTTGTTGCTGTTTAAAAATGTTTGCTGCACAGATTGCAGTTTGAAAAAACTGCACATATTCCAGTTTACAGTTTGCACAGATTCCAGTATGGAAAAAATCACAGATTGCAATTGGCATTTCAGAAAACCAAGTTGTAAAACCTAGAGCTGTAATTGGCATTTCAGAAAACCAAGTTGTAAAACTGTTATTCAAAAACCACCCGTGTTATTAAAAAACTAAGTCGTAATACAGAAATGAATCATCTCAAACTCAAATTACAGCAACAATGAAATCGTAAGAGAAATCATCTCAAATTACAGAAAGAAATCATCTCAAACTCAAAAACCACCCGTGTTATTAAAAAACTAAGTCGTAATTCAGAAACAATGAAATTTACATAATTCCAATTTCTAACCATGTTATTCAAAATTCTACATAGAAATGAAACATCTCAAACTCAAATTACAGCAACAATTGCAAGGCTTCCTATTCTTCTCTTCTTATTCAATTTCAGTATAGACTTATTTCATCTTAGCTCTGCAATCGTAAGAGAGTCATAAACATTCTTACACACAAAACCAAATAAACTTAAAAACACATAGATACTTAAAAAAAAAAGGCCTAAAAATCCATCTGAAAAAAAACACTCCATCTGAAATAATTTCTTAAAGAAAACACTCCATCTAACACAAACGGGCCGGTCCAGGTACCCGCGGTTCCTATACTTTTGGAACCGGCCCGAATCAAAAACTTCAATTGCCCGGCCCGCCCCGCCCCGATCTGTTTTTACAAAATTAAGAATCGGCCCGTACCCGTCCCGTACCCATCCCGACCCGCAGGTCAGGACCCGTTTGCCCAGCCCTATCTCACTTGCAAATAGCAAAAGAAGATTCTTTTTGAGAAAATCTTGTTGCAATTATTGACAGACACGAAGGCCAATTTCGGGGCGTGGTTACGTATATATGTCCGCCTCCCGGTTACTGCAACCCTATCTCTCACACTCTCTCCTGCTCTCCTCTTTCGTCGAGGTCTCGTCCCTCTCTCTCTCTCTCGTCTCTCTCTAACTACAAAAATTTCAAAATTCGCGTTTTCAACTAACTTTTTCAGTTGCAGAATCTTCAAAAATCCATACTTTCACTCTTAATTCGACCTCAGGTATAACTCCAAAACCCTAATTGCTCCGATTCAAATTTCAAAGCCCTAATTTGCGACTTGAGCTTCGAAAACCCCTAATTGGAGGTCCCTATCTCTCAGCAGAACATGGGCGAAACTAGGGACGACGTCTACGACGAGGAGCTCGTCGATTACGAAGAAGAGGAGGAGAAGGCACCCGACTCCGCAGCTAAAGTCAACGGAGAAGCCCCCAAAAAGTGAGTTTTTATTCTATGGATTTGCTTTCCTATTTTCTTTTAGTTCGTTGTTTGGTATTATCGGAATTAAAAATTCAACCTTTTCCTTCTGCGAATTGCGTATTACCTGTTGTTTGCATATGGTTGCTGTAATTCAGACTACAAAGTAGTATTCTGATTGCAATTTAACATTATTTAGGTCTAATTTGTTACGTTTGTTATTGCTTTTGTGCAGGGGTTATGTTGGAATTCACAGTTCAGGGTTCAGAGATTTCCTTTTGAAGCCTGAACTTCTTCGTGCTATTGTCGACTCTGGATTTGAGCATCCTTCTGAAGGCAAGCTCTTGAACTTAGACTTTTTGATTGTTATTTTCTTGCGGAAGTCAAACCATGTTATGTAGATTTTTTTATTTTATCAGTGAAATTTATGATTATGTTTTGGTCATACAAGTATATGTGAATTTCCATTATGTTATTTTTATCAATCTATTTCTTTGTCGGTGAATTTTTGAACATCTTGAATTGCTATACACTAGTTCAGTAGATCTTTTCTTTCCGTTCTGTGCTTAGTTCTAATTCAGTTTGATGTATTTTTTCCAGGTAATTTGTCCTACTATCATAATCTTGAATTCAGAGAACTATTAGAGTTTAGACTTTCATAAAAAGATTGGAGACGTTATGTTTTACTTACCAATGGTTCCTTCGATGCGGTTTTCTTTGGTTCATCAGTGCAACATGAATGTATTCCTCAAGCTATCCTGGGGATGGATGTTATATGTCAGGCTAAATCTGGGATGGGAAAAACTGCTGTGTTTGTTCTATCAACTTTACAACAGATTGACCCTGTTGCAGGCCAAGTATCTGCACTTGTCCTTTGCCATACTAGAGAATTAGCATACCAGGTGCATTTGGGATCTGAATTTTTTCTTATGATAGTAATGTGTCATTGAACTTTTGGCTTCTATTCATGTTTATATATACTAATGAGCTATTGAATTCTGTGTAGATTTGTCATGAATTTGAGAGGTTCAGTACGTACCTGCCTGATCTCAAGGTTGCTGTCTTCTATGGTGGTGTCAGTATCAAACTTCACAAAGATTTACTGAAAAACGAATGCCCGCACATTGTTGTCGGAACTCCTGGAAGAATACTAGCACTGGCAAGAGATAAAGACCTGTCGTTGAAAAACGTGAGGCATTTTATTCTTGATGAATGTGACAAGATGCTTGAATCACTTGGTATGGATTTTACCTATTATGAATTTATGGTTGTGCTTTGTTTTTCATGTATCTCTCATTAGTGAACCCACATCTTAATATTTGCTTCTACTCAATGCAGACATGCGGAGAGATGTGCAGGAGATCTTCAAGATGACGCCTCACGATAAGCAAGTGATGATGTTTTCCGCAACACTCAGCAAAGACATCCGCCCGGTTTGCAAGAAATTTATGCAAGATGTAATGTCCCATGGCCGAATCTACTTCAATTTTGAAGTCTCTTTTTTCATAATCCCACATTCTCCGAGAGATTTTGTAATTAAGTCGAATCCGGTGGTTGCATGACGTACTTACCGTTGGCATCTTGTTTATATGGATACCACGACAGTCAGCCGTTTATTTGGAATTTGCGGCTTGACAAGGGTGTTCATCTGGAATATAAAAGCAAAAGTAAGGCACAAAGGAGGCCATCTACTAGGAGTTCTCTCAGTTGAGTGGGATAAGTGCCTTGCGTTCTGCATTAGTATTTCCTTAGGTTTATCTCCCTTGTTGGGTTTGGCTTTTTTGTTTTTAGCAAGTCATCTTGTGGGTTTAACTTTATAGTCCAGGGTGTTGGGGTTGTTTCCAGTCAAGGGTGAGAGCAGTTGCGTGGGTGGGTGGTGTTGGGGATTGCGCGTTCATGTTGGTGTCCACTGGGATGATCTTTGGTCAGCAGTCAAATTTATTAATAGATTGTAAGCGTCAGTGGCGGTGGCTTAAAGTGATTTAGAAAAAGTATCTTCAAGGAGACAAAACAGATGGAGCAGAATCTTGATTCAGGAGATGTGCATCCGTCATTCATTTCGTTCTGGATTCTATTAGCTTGAGGAAGGCCCCTAATATGATTTACTGTGACATTTGTTCCTTTCAGCCTATGGAAATATATGTTGATGATGAAGCCAAGTTGACCTTGCATGGTCTAGTGCAGGTATGTATTTTTCAAGTGGGCTTTTAGTTGATTACACTTATTCATTCATATAAATCTTACCTTTCACTGTTTCTTTATAAAAATAAACAAGGATCTTACCTCTGTGATCTAAAATTTCAGCACTACATCAAGTTAACTGAGGCAGAGAAGAACCGCAAGTTGAATGACCTCCTTGATGCATTGGACTTCAATCAAGTTGTTATCTTCGTCAAAAGCGTTAGCAGAGCTGCTGAGCTGAACAAGTTACTTTCAGAGTGTAACTTTCCCTCTATCTGCATCCATTCTGGAATGAACCAAGAAGAAAGGTTTGCTACTAATTCCTATATATTTTTATTTCATATTATTCCGTGTGGATTTTGTAGTTTTTGTTACTCTGACACCTTTTTGTCACAAACTTTGTTTATATTGGATTTTGGATGTTTCATTACCCTACTTTTGCTTTAGTTGATCCTAGTAGTTTATGTCATTTACCATCTTAAAATCAAAGTTTTGTAACCGTTCTATAAAATTTGATACAAACTATTAGCAAACAAGCTTTGCCTAGGTGTTTTTTCCTACCATGTTTATGTGTAAAGTAAATGTTTCAGTGTTTTCTATTTTTGTTCTTTCTATATAGTTGCCCTGTGTTTTATAAATTTTTCTTCTCAAGTTGCATGCCTAAGGACTCTTCTGCTTTCGAGCTTTTTCATACTTTTAAATCCAAGTTTAAGGCCATGGGTACTCTCTCCGGGTATCTTCTGGTGTTTGTGTTCCACTGGTCCTACCTCTCTCCCCTGCTTACCCTTGTGTCTTGTTTAATGTCTTGTTGAACTGTCAACGTTTTTTGGCCAAGTTATTTTCAATTTGGGAGGTTCAGTTTTTAATCTTAAATTGTATCTCTTTTGTAGGTTGAAGCGGTACAAAGGATTCAAGGAGGGTCAGAACAGGATTCTTGTGGCAACTGATTTAGTCGGTAGAGGAATTGACATCGAACGTGTTAACATTGTTATCAACTACGACATGCCAGATTCTGCTGACACTTATTTACACAGGGTAGGTTGATATTATTTTCTTGGTTTGATAAGTTTATTGTCTAACTGAATTTTAGCTTTTGTATTGTCTTTTGCTTAGTATCTGTTTGTCTTTTGTTTTGGGGTATTGTGTTACATAATTATTTGCCTTCGGTTCCTTTCCATAAAAGGGAAGACTGAGAAAGGAGTGGGGTTTTTTCTTTTGGGGTTACTTGTAGCAGTGAGAAAACGAGAGGCCTGATTGAAAATATATTTTGATGATCAAAATGGATGATCATTTCTGCGGTGTGGTTCACCATTCATATAAATATAGAGTAAGATGCAAATTAATTTATCAGTTCTATTACACCTTTTGTATCTCGTATGTGAATGGCTAGCAGCTAATTTATCTTCATATGTAGTGTATCTGCTATGTTATGTGTTATATTATAATTTTTGAGTATGGAATAAGATTATTTAGATTGTGCCTGTTTCAAAGATATGTTTGGATGGTCGTAGTGTCGTGACAATTAACATGACAATGAAGGGCTAACACATTCGTGATATATCTTGGATCTAACTTCTTGCTTTCACATCAAAATTCTGACAGGTTGGCAGAGCTGGTAGGTTTGGCACCAAAGGTCTTGCAATTACGTTTGTTTCATCCGCAGCAGACTCTGATGTTCTAAATGATGTACGAAATTAGTTTTCCTCGTATGTTCTCTTCTGTTTATTGCAATTCTGCGGTTGTTTTAACTTATTGGGTATGCAAATGCAGGTTCAGGAAAGGTTTGAGGTTGATATAAAGGAGCTTCCTGAACAGATTGACACTGCCACATACAGTATGTACTATTTGCTTGATTAAAAATTTTTTCGTGTTGTTTTGCTTTAGTCAACTTTGTAGTTTATAGCGGTTCATCCTTGTTTTCTATGTGTTGATGGTTTTTGGTCTAACGGTCAGAAAATAACTGATTGGAATTATGAAACAGAAGCATCTGTATCACATTTAACTATCTTCTCTGATTGGATTTGGATCATGACCGTACAACACTTTATTTTTCAATTGAAAACAGTTATCAACTTAACCACATGGCGGTAATTGGTTGATATTCTCCTACTCTTTCCATTAAATACCCCTCAATTTCTTCCTTGTTTAGTTTACCAGTTCGAATATGTCGATTATTATTGCAAGTCAGACTATAATTCTAAATTTCTACTCGCATCTAGCCCTTTCCTGTGCTTCTTACTGGTGATTAACTGAATTGACGCGTTCCTAATGTACAATCTTCTTTGTATGCAGTGCCATCTTAATTGAAGTTTATGTCAGTACGAAGGCATATTGATGGTGGAGGCTGTTGCAAACCGTTCTGTTTTTTATCAGACTGATATTGAACAATTTGTTTTATGGTAGAAGCTCAACGCTGTTGTATTAAGTGTTTTTTGTGTTTTTTAACTGTGGGTGTCTAGAATTTTGTGGTCCGCCATGACCTGGTACCCGGCGCAATACCAGGGCTTGGCTTTGCGTTTGAAATTTTGGAATTCATTTGCAGTATTATGTAGTAATGCAGTGTGGGTTAAAACAGAAAGTATGAGACTCTAGGAGGGAGAAGAAAGATTAGTATTATTTCATGTCAGTAATTGAAATTTTACTATCAAGATTTGTACGAGGTGAATTCTGAATGCGTTTTTATTCCTCATAGTAAATCTCAGAAAACTGTTTTTGACATGGTTTATGTCGGGGAAATGATAACAGATACCTTTAGCTTTTCACACTCCTTGTACTCGTCCACTTGGATCTATGGGAAAAGATCATCTCCTAATCTATACATCTGAAGCTCAGGGATTAAATGATTTTGGGCTTCAAAAATTTGACTTTACGGCAAAAATCAAAGTAAAATCTTTTGAAAGCTATAAAAGTTTTTAACCGTATGATCAAATTTTTAAGTTTCGAATGTTTTGATGCCTACGTTCTGGATGTATAGATTCGGACCCAAAGAAAAAATAGAATCTTAAAGAAATGGTTAACTCATTATTAATAAGTTATGGACTCCCAAACAATATACGGTCAGAAGCTTTACTGACTTTGTGTTATATTCTTAATAGAATATCACACAAGAAATCCAACGTGACTTCATATGAATACGGAAGGAGATCCATCTTCTTTTCATGAAGCAATCGCTTCACCAGATGCATCATTCTGGAGAAAAGCAATTGAAGATGAATTAGATTCTATTACATCGAATGGGACTTGGAAGTTAGTGGATTTACCACAAGACTCTAAACCAATAGGTTGTAAATGAGTTTTTAAAAGAAAATGAGAAAATTTGAAATAGATCCAATTTTATAGACCTACTTTTGAAATAGATCCAATTTTTAGTGACTTTTGACTTTTGAAATAGGTCTAATTTTTAATTACTTTGGACCTATATCAAAAGACCCCAAAGAAAATTAACTACGTATGGTTCAATAAATAGGTTTAAAGCTAGTTGGTGGCCATAGGTTTTAGACAAAAGGAATTGATTCCTTTGACACATATGCACTAGTGGCACGGATTAGTTCAATCCAATTACTAATTTCTCTTGCTTCAATTCATAATCTAGTAATCCATCATGTGGTTGTGAAAACAACTTTTTTGAATGGAGATCTAGATGAAGAAATTTATATTGAACAACCGGAAGGGTATGTTAAACCAGGTCAAGAACATAAAGTTTGTAAACTTTTTAAATCTTTCTGTGGCTTAAAGCAAACACCCAAGCAGCAATGGCATGAGAACTTTGATGGTGTAATTTTGTATGGTTATCGTGTCAATAACGCGGACAAATGCATATATAATAAATTTGATACCAATGGTGGAGTCATTGCTTATACGTAGATGACAAGTTAAATTTTGGAACCAACTTAGAGTATGTAATGAAAGCCAAAAAGCTTTTATCCACTATTTTTGACATGAAAGATATGGGGGAGACATGTAATTTTGGGAATCAAAATCAAAAGAAACAATGTTCCTATAGCACTAGTACAATCTTGCTGTGTTTGAGAATATACTAAAGAAATTTAATCATTTTGATAAAAAAACTAGTTTCAACTCCATATGACTCTAGTGTTAAACTAGTAAAGAATAATGGCAGATGCATATACAATTACAATATTCAAGGATTATAGGGAGTCTTATGTATCTAATATGTATTGTACAAGGCCTGATATAGCCTTTGCCATTGGAATGTTGAGTAGTAAGAATTGGGAAGGGATTTCTCGAGTATTTAGATACTTGAAAGGAATGACTGGTTATGGATTACATTATCATGGTTATCCTTTTGTTTTAGAAGGATATAGTGACGCTAGCTGGAACATTGATATGGAGTCCCAATCAACAAGTGGGTGGATATTTACTCTTAGTGGAGGATCAATCTCTTGAAGATTCAAGAAACAAGGATGTGTTTCACACTCGACAATGGAGTCTGAGTTGATTGCATTGGAAGCAGCTTGTAAAGAAGGTGAATGGATTAGAAAATTGCTGATGGAAAATCCCTTGTGGAAGAAGCCAACTCCTTCAATTACTATCTATTGTGATAGTCAAGCAACTTCTTGCATGTGCAACGAGCAAGATGTATAATGGAAAGTCTAGACATAATGGTCTTAGACACAATTATATAAGCCAACTCCTTCGTGTTGGAGTAATAAGTTTGACATATGTTAAATTAATTGAGAATTTGACGGATCTTTTGATGAAAGGGCTCGCCAAAGACATGATTTATAAAACATAAAAAATGATGGGACTAAGGTCTATTAAATGACAATCACTTCGACATAAACCCAACCAAAGTTTTGAAATATAGGCTTTGGTTCAACGGGTAAGAAACAAATCGAAGGTGTGATTATGTAAGAATGATAGAAAATATTTGTGGTTCCAACCATAGATGTTATATTGGTTCTAGCAACATAAGGACACTTATCTGGTGGAGGTTGAGTATGTTATTGTATTCTTAATAAATCTTTAGCGAATGGCGAGGATGTAAAGATAAGGACATCTAAGATAGATTTAGCTATATAAGTAAGGGAGTTTGGCCGCTTCTGAAAGAGATTAAATGACATTTCTCTAGGATTACTTATGAAAAAGGTATGCGCACGGCCATAAAGCGTGGGTTAAAGAATTTTGAGAGATCCAAAATAAGTATGTTCAATATATCCGGCTAAATCATATAAGGTCCTTGGTTCAAAGTTGTGACTACCACAACACCTAGCTTTGATATATTTGGACTAACTAGGTGTTCAAGTCTAAGGACACCTCATAGGCTATGTACTTATTTTGAAGTATCATAGAAGACATACGTATATTTGAAATTGGGGAGTATCATAGAAGAAGTACATATATTTGAAATTGGGGAGAATTGTTGGAAAATTTCAAATATATGAGAAACATTGTTTGGAACAGTTGTGTGTATTAATGAGGTGAAAGTGTACATATCTATCACCAAATGGGTATATGGTTCTTAAAGGTTGAAATTAAATTATGAAATGATGCATCATTCTACTCATATAACTGATTGGGTATAGAATTGGAGGATTACAACTGTTGATGAAACATCATCTAGAGTTCTATAAATACAACATGAGTTCAACAATCAGTATATATCCTTTCTTCTTTCTTTCTTGTCTCTAAATTTCAGATTATTTCTTATGCTGTGCAAATCTTAAGAAATAATATCAAGTGAGTTTGAAACCATAGTATCCTAGAGACAATTTGTTTCTCAACCATTTTTGAACTAAGAAAGAGCAACAACTTAGTCTTAAGAAAGCGAATTCAATTTGTGTTTTGGCTCATTTTTCTCATTTTCTTGTTCGCAACTGTCATCATTATTTTCAGATTATTGCTAATAATAGATGCTACAAAGGCTCTTCTCGATAGAGGAAGAGAGCGATCACAAGTCACAATCACAAATCTTTTTCTGGCCAGAGCAAAGGAGGGACCAAACCTAAAGTTGAAGGTGGTCAGAAGCTAGGAGAAACATGGACAAGAAGAGAATCGGAAGAGAATGATAGGGATTAATGCTGGGCGACCAAAGTTTTCCTCTCTAAAAACCTTTTTTTTTTCTGGAACTTTAACGAAAAACTCATTGTACTGTTCATTTTAACGAAAAATCACATTTTTACATCAAAAAGTCAATCCTGTTCTTATTCACGTTACCCTTTATTTTGTCCTTATCGTTAAAATTCAAAGTTTTCAAGCTCTTTTCATTAATTTTTTTTTTATTTGTCAAATTGCGCGTACGACAATACTATAGGACGAAATCCATAATCTCCTTGAGCTTCTTTAACAACAGTCAATTATTGGATTATTTCTTTAATTAGCCATATATTGACGAATTATGTAAAAGTTGTCTTTTCAAATCGAATTTATAAAACTGCTTTATGACAATATTAATTTGAGATACTGATAAGAAATGTGATCAAATTATTTGATAATTGATTGAATTTGTTTTCGGAAGTAGGTATCAGAAGCACAAATACTTTAATTTGACTTCTTTTTGCTCAACAAATTTGGTCTTCGCTGGCTGCTTAGTTTAATACATTTTCTCCGACCTTAATCCATGTAAAATTAACGAAATGAAGAAGAAAATAATACACACAACCTCAAACTCTAGATTCATTGTAAAGATATATCACTCTTTTTTTTTTTTCCAGAAAGAATAAAATTTGATTTTATCCCAAGAGATTAAGGCATAATTAATCAGGTCTTAAACATGTAGAGATACAGGCGTATCAAAAATTAGTAAATGCCATTAATTAATTTTAGATAGCAAAAACGAGACTCCAAAACGACTATATATATATATATATAGATAACAGGTGAGAGTATAGGATAATGATCCAGTTAAGAAACTGAGTTTCTAGTTCATGCCGTGGCTGCATATACGGATAACTTCATGGTGAGGAATGATCAGTACAATTACCTTATGTAAAATGGAAACCCCATAATCCAATTCTTTTCTATACTACATATTATATATATATATATATATATATATATATATTGTTGATGCACAAAATCAGCGAGGACTTTGGTACAACAGAAAATGTTAAGTTTGTAACCTTCGCTAGATTGCTCCGGTCACTAGTGTGGATAAGTACGTAAATGGATAGAGACAGGGAAGCAAACACAAGATGTAGGTGGTTCACCCAGATTGGCTACGTCCACAGAGTAGAGGAGTTTTCATTAATTGTGAAGGGTTTACACAAGTACATAGGTTCAAGCTCTCCTTTAGTGAGTACAAGTGAATGATTTAGTACAAATGACATTAGGAAATATTGTGAGAGAATGATCTCTATTTATAGAAGAGAGTTTCTAGTTTCATTCTGACATTGACACGTGTCGTGTTGTGATTGGCTTCTGATGTTAATACGTGTCGCGCTATGATTGGCTTCTGATGTCGACACGTGTCGCGCTGTGATTGGTTCTGGGTCCTTGACGGTATAACGTTGACCGTGCTCAGTAGTTTCAGGATTGGTCAAGTATGGTACAAACAGTGCTCCCCTAAGTTCCCGAGTGAGGGAAGCTTCTCGGTTGGGGACTTGCAAGATCCAAGCCATTGAGTAATCACGAAACTTCTAAGTACCGAAGTGTGGTATCATTTTCACTTGCCTTATCTGTCTTATATGTAGACGTGACATCTTCTCTGGAAGTACTTTTCCTCCATCCAGGGGTGGTATCTTTAACCGATGAAGATG